ATGGTGGGGATTGCTGAACCACAGAGCTAAGAGTTGTAATACTTGCCCGAAAAGGCCCCCAGCAGGGTCCTGCAGCAGCAAGGCCCCAGCAAAGCCTGGCGGCAGAGGGTGAGAAGAAGCTGTCCTAATCAAAAAAATTGTATCCTAAGTTATTCCTTTTACTTTCAAGTTGATCCTGGCTGCTAGTTGTACCATTATGTCCCTAATAAACCCCATAACAGTGAGTATGGTCTGTGAGTTGTATGGCCATTGCAACAAATTATGGAACCCAGCAGAGAAGTAGACAGTGTTGTGGGGAGGATGGCTGGTATCAGAATTGCTAAGGATGGAAGGTGGAAGCATGTCTGACTTCTACTTCATAGGAATCAGGCCTGTTGATGCTAATAATGAATCTCCCCCCTCATGAAATTAAACAAGGAGGTCTGATGCCTCTGCTGCACCATTTTTACAATAAGAGTTGCTATGCTGAAGCTGAGGGGGAAAAGCCTGCGTCTGTAGTGGCCTGGGGTAAAAGCCAGGCTGACTAAACAAGATGATTGATAGCAGGCCAGGCAGGGTCTACTGGTTTCACACAGCCATATGCATATGAATGGGAAAACAGTCAAGGTGTGGAGAAGGGAAGAGGAAACTAGAATGTTTTAGAAAGGTTATGTGTTTATCTCAATGTACTATGGATAGTGCATGTTTCCCCTACCTAGTGTTGTAAAACAGACCTAAATGTATGACCAGAATGAATATTGGGAATTATAGACTACAGACAGTGTGTATTCCACCTTCCACCAATACTTGATTGGCTATGCTAAAAGGGAACTAGGATTTGCATGAAAGAAACAGGCCATTGGTTTGAATGCAGTAGCTCTGTATATTGAGTATTAGGGGCTTAGGTCGAAAACCTGAGCCCCACCTACAGCCTTTGGAGTCAGGAGATTTGCATTTGAAAAGACATGCAGGACTACTCAGACCTGCTAAGTGAGCAGATTTGCATTTGAAGGAAGGACCTGCAGAAAAAAAACAAAAACAAAAACAAAAAAAAACTGTTTTTTTTTTTGAATTTCCAGCAAGCAGTTTACCTTAGGGTGCATTAAGGCAGTAAAAGTCAGTGCTGATCGGAAGAACCCCCTTCCAGGACTGGAGGTGAAAGGGAGCTGACTAGTAGACAGCCTGATGTGTTTGCTTGTAGTGACGGCCTGGGTCCACTCAATGAGTGGAAGTAGGCTAGGTGCAGCAATGAACAGACAGGCTGAGTTTGGACATGTTCCCGACACTCATTGACCTAGCCCACAGGGGCTAGGGATGAGAGAGAGAAGGGGCTGACTGGTCTGAAGGGCAGGGAGTTGTGTAGACTCCTGAGCCTATGGGTGGTGCCCACTGACCTAACCCACAGGGGCTAGGGATGAAAGAGAGAGGTAAGTGGCTGGCTGGTCTAAAGCGCCAGGAGGTGTGTGGACTCCTGAGCCTAGGGCTGGTACCCATTGACTAAGCTTGGATGGTTAGGGATTAGCTGAACAGAATCTGACTGAATGAAAAGATGTTTGACACCATGCTGCAAATTGACGGCTTGCTCTAGATTGGACTTTGCTTATCAATGCAGATACTCAAAGTTCCAACTGGAACAGAAGATTCTTCAAGACCAAAGAACATGCTTGCCTCCTCAGAGTACTGGTTTGATAGGGATGGGCAATTTAAACATTGGATATCTAAAATGGTGGGAGATAAAGGCATGAAGTGCTGGCTTACATGCTTTCGTGAGTTTGCTTAGACTCAAAATGAGGGGGCCAAGGAAGGATCCCCACTGAACAGATTCCTCTTCCTGATGGGTCTGGGGAAGTGAGGGTGGGGAAAGATGCTGATAGGATTATATGATTCAGTTGTGAGTTTTAATTATTAACAGGGCTAACTGTGATTGTAAAAACTGTAATAGTAGAAGCTGTAAGTGTGAAAGAGTGGACTAAGGGGGAGGCACTGCTGGAATGGAGTACAGTGGCCAAACCAAAAGTCCCTTAAAGGTTTTGCTGTGCTGATAACTTGTGAGACTCAGAGCAAGGGAATAATCTTCTCTCAGTTAAATTTTATCAGACACCAGAAAGGGTGAAGCCAAGACGACTTTTGGAGAACCTGACCAGATCAGATGGACACCTGCAGCAGACCTGAATGGACAGTACCTGAGTAACCTCACCCTGACGTATCTTGCCCTATTGAAGGATTAATTGTTAAATACCATTTTGGACTGCTAAAACGATTGGGAAGGGGAAGTTACCCTCCAAGTATGAAAGAATCATGGCTAGAAAAGTCAGAGGGTGGCCTGCAGTGGAATGGATCACTTTTATGTGGTCTTTCTTTTTTTTTTTTTTAA